TCATGTCCAGGAAAGTGCTTAGAATTTCACAGGTAAATGCAAGAGAGCATACATAGGTAGCCCATATTCTAAGTAGGCATGTGAACATGAATCCCGTGTACACGGTTAATGGATGAGCCTAGGCAATTTTGCTCCTTCCTTCCCGTCCCCACTGCCTCAGATATGAGTGGGGAGAGGGAGGCAGGAGCCAATGTGTGCAGGAGACCTCCACGTGTAAATATGTAATGGCTGAAATTTTTCAGCGGTTACATGTTTATCTAAATAAACACATTTTAACATCCCTAATTCTAAGGGATGAGTAGATTAAAGGTAGAGTATTCAGTTAACACCACAGTCATAGGACAAAAAGAGGGGGTTAGTGAGTTATGGATTATTGTAATAAGATAAAAGTGTGTCTGTTCAATCCATGCTTTTTAGCGTCTAGCAGAGTTATATATTTGAGCTCCCAGGTTCCTCTTGTGAAAGCATTGTGCAGAGTTCCCTAGAAGAAGGGTTAGGGATATCAACATGTAGTCATCTATATGATTAACTGATAAGCCTAGGCTTTATCAGTTAATCATGTCAACTACATGCATTCCCCTTCCCCCCCTTGGTTCCTCTGTCAAAGTCAGCAAGGGGGGGAAGGTGGTGCTGGGGGAAGCGGTCTTAAAAGCCAGTTCCCCCCCAGCACCAGTTTTGTGGTGCAACCCTTCCCTTCCCTCCAAGTGAGGGGAGAGGGGGACTGTGGAGGCTTCTGCAAAACAGCCTCTGTTTGTGGCAGGCCTGAGTGCCCCATGGACAGAGTCACTATGCACAGTGGCTTGGGTCCAGCAGAGGCAGGAGCTTGGGGCTGTTTGTGGAGCTGGTTTTTAAACTGACTCCCCTTGCAGATGGGCTCCCCTGCTACCCTGCGCTGCTGCTTCTGTTACAGAGACAGCAGCACAGGATAGCAGGGGATTCCCCAGCAGTGGGACCAGGAGTGCTCTGGCTGCTGGCCCCTCCCGTGGGGACTATTGAGTAGTTATGTAACCAGTAAGATTTCAGGCAGTTACTTGACTATTCAATTACTTCATACTTAATATCCCTAATAAGGACTGATGACTCCATCACAGAGTGATTACTTTGTGAAGAGTGTTCATCCGGGTAGGTTTTTGTCTTTATCATTTTCCTGTACAGCTTCATTTGAGAGCATAGTGATTATCTGGACTCACCCACGTAGTTGTGGGGCACTTACTGCACTAGATGAGGAATGCCAAGTATTATGATAGGCATGCATAGAATCTTAAATGGTGTGTTAGTCATTCTAGCAGTGGAGATATGTCTTCAGGTTTTGCATCTCTTAATGTGGCATGATCTGGTGCTGCTTTGAGTTGGTGTGTCCTGGTCTGTGGGGAGCTTGCTTCTGATAATGTTGGAGGGTGGGTTGTCTGAAGGCCAGAAGTGGGAGTTCAGGAAAGCCTTCTTTCAGAATGGGGTCCCCATCAATTTTAGATTGTCCTTGTTTGATACTCCATATGGATTCTAGTGTGAGAGGGTTGGTAGCAACTAGTGATGTGTGGTTACAGGAGATTTTATTTCTGTATTGAAACTACAGTGTATTTGGGTGGCCCATTTTTTGGTGCAGTCTACTTCTCTGGTGGAGTGGCCTTATTTTGTGAAGGCAGTCGTAAGTGAGTTAAGGCGTATCCTAACGTCATTCCCTGTCTCTCACCAACAGAAGTTGGTCTAGTAAGAGATATTACCTCATCCACCTTGTTTTTTATATTGCTTGCTTCTCTGTACCTCCACTTAGTGAGCAAACTAATCTCATTCATCAAGTTACTGCATATCCTTTTAAAGCTATTCCTTTTTCGTCAGAGGTTTGGGTCATAGCTGTACAGTTGGTCTGCAGTTTTCTGCTTTGGCTATTTGGTTTTAATACTGTTTTATCCAAAACAGAATGGAAGAAAATTGAGTGAATGTCATTTGGCTTATTATAACCATGACTTTCAGTGCCTTTCGTAAGATCTAAATATATGCAAATTTAAATGATGCTCTGCAGGTGGACACAAACAGGGCTTGTACCTTTTTTCTTGTTCTTTGCTAGCTGAAGAATTGATAAGTCTTTTTTTAAATTAGAAATTAAGGTATTGACTCCTGAAAAGCTCTCTGGAGACTAAAAATTAATGAAATGATTACCTTTTAAAAATCAAGAGAGTGAAAGCTGAGACATTGGAATGGAGAGGGCATTTATTCAGGATGTTTAAAACGTTAATTAACATTTTAGAGAGAGGTTAAAGATTAAACATCCTGCTTATTCCCAGGGAAGACACACACCTGAGTTGTCCAGCAACCAGAAAAGAACAGACTTAGCATTTTTTATTTTTTATTAGATACATATTTAACACACCTTTTAGTCCTCCAAGAAACAAAAAGGAACAGGCCTATTTACTGATTCTCTCACATCCCCTGCTACCAAGGTATTTGAGGTTTTTAGTAGCTATATTGTCTTTTAATTAATTGTATTTTTGTTCATGAACATAAGTTCTGTCATTAAAGAAGATGCACATACTGAAACCATAAATGTGTGTACACGTGCACAATGAAACATAATTAACTATACTTTTCTTCCTAATGCATCTAATCCAGTTAACTTTTTTCATGAGGAACAAAGTTAGCAGGAGCTGACCCAGAAGTTTAATCGCTCTAGTATAGTCAAGATTTAAATAAAAGATCAAATATTTTTAACTGTAGTATTTTAAATAGTGAATATAGAATAATATGTGAGCCCGCACACACATCCACTGTGTGTGTGTGTGTGTGTGTGTGTGTCTGTGTATAGTAGCTTACATCTCATTTAATGTTTTGTTTTAAAAACATAAGACTTTAGTATTCTGTTTCATTATTGAGCTTTCACTCTGGTAAGTAACCTACAGCTTTCATGTATTTCTGCATTCAGGGCTGACACCCACTACCACAGGGAAGCGTAAAGAATACCATTACATCTGTGCTTCTTGCAATTTACAAGAATAAGAGTTGTGCACTACTTGCTAGTATGCTAGTCAAAAATATCCAATCTAAAATATTTAATAAAAATTGTTAGTCAAACAGCCCAAATTACCAAATTATTTATTACTTTCACAATCATGATGACTATTCACTGTTATTACTTTGTAAAGTTATTTATTTATACATTGTAGAACAGTTTCAACAGGAAACGTTAAGACTGCCACACCAAAGTGTCCAGTAGTCCAGTGGTTTGACCCTAGGTGGGTGGAGGGATTTGTGTAGCTAAGTATGTGCAACGTATGTATATGTTCTGCATCAATGTTTCCCAAATAGTCTATTGTGGGAAGGTTTAGATATACCATGGGTCTGGGGCTAAGGCAGGTGTGTTGGAAAATGAGCTCATCCCACAGCAGTGGCTACTGTCTCTTGCAGGGCTAAGCCCAAGGCAATGTCTGCACTACCACATGTCTGCAGAACCTAGGTTGATCGAGGGGTGTGAAAAAACACACCCTTGAGTGACATGCTTTTCACTGCCATGAATGCTTGTACGCATGGCACTCTGTCAATAGGAGAGCTCTCTCCCATTTACAGAGTGGGTACATAAGCAATCTTACAGTGGTATAGCTACATTGCTACAGCTGTGTCACTAGTGTAGACTTGGGATGTAAGCAAGTAGTTGAGTACTCAACTACTTACTCCTTTCTTTCCCCCTCTCCTCCGCTGCCTGCTTATCAGAGGCAGCGAGGTAGGAGGGAAACAAGAGCCGGTGCTGGTGGGAAGCTGGCTTAAAAACTGGCTTCCCCCCATCACCACCTCCACAGTGCTGCCTTCCCTGCCCCCATGCTGCTGCCTCTATTGGAGGCAGTAGCAGGGGGGATGGGAGGGTGTGTGCTGCAAAGCAGCCTCTGCCCGCAGCAGCTCTTACTAGCTTTAAAAAGCAGAGATGCAACATCTGGGACCCGGTAGAAGCCAGGACTGCTCAGTCCCGGTTTGCACCGTTTTCCCCCGCTGCATCTCTGCCTCCCCTGTTCCCTTCTTAGACAGTGCTGGGGGGAGCCAGTTCTTAAGCTGGCTTCTCCCAACCTCGGCTCCTGCTCTTTCCCATCCCCCTTGTTGCCTCTGTATCAGCAAGATACAGCAAGTGACTAGTTGAGAAGTGACTCAGCTACCTATTAAGCCTAGGCTTATTGGGTAGTTGACTAGTTGCTTGTATCCCTAGTTAGCAAAACTATTGGGAATCGAAGCTACAGTTGTTGACATCAAACCAAAAGTTCATGAAAGTTTTACAAATGCATATTTTGTTGTCTTTGAGCAATTATATTTAATACCCCTGGACAGGGCTCAACAAATAATGTAATCTACTCACCCGTGGCGAGTAGATTATGACCCAGTAGAGCCGGCACAGAGTGATCTGTGCATGCGCAGAACAGCGCGAAACCACGCGGCTGGCCAGCGCTCGCCGCCGTTTGGCGAGCCCTGCCCCTGGATATAAAGATTGATAAAATACTTCCTATGTCCTCTACTTCCATTTTGTGTTCATTTACATTAAAAATAGTAAATCTGTATAACAATCTACTGCATAATTGGTCACTGGTATAGATATTACTCTAAAGTCATGGCTTTCCTTCACTGACGATCACTGCTTGTATATGAGATGGAAAGGCAGTTACATATGAGATGGAAGGTATTGCCTGTAGAGATTACTAGTCTGATTTTTATCAGTCTGCTTTTCATATACTTGTTTCTTGACTTCACAATAAATACAATCATAGTAACAGTCTGAAATTTTTAAAATGAGCTTTGAAAATGTTTCATGTAAAACTAATAGGTAAACTAGCACTAGAGTAACAAAAATGATTAAAGGTCAGAAAACATGACCTGTGAAGGAAGACTGAAAGAATTGGGCTTGTTTAGTTTAGAAAAGAAGCCTGAAAAGTTTCAGGTATCTAAAGAAAACCTCTGCTGTCTTTAAAATTATGTAATTGATATTGTATGATTTGTTTCAACTGCCCTATCGGATTTAATCTGACTTCAATTCTTCATTACATATGCAGCCTAATGGACGGCCTGTTCTTGAAGTGTCTGAGGATGAAATAATTCAGATGGTTCGAAGAGAGAATTTGAAGCAGCCACTGGATGCAGAAAAGAAAAATGAGAAGGTTATTTATGGCTTTGAAACTATAGTAATTTTCCTGAGACTAATTTTTATATATTTTTGTTATATCAAGGCCTCCACTAAGATTGAGTTCCATTATTTCCATTGTGTATGTGTGTTTAAAAAAAAAAAAAAAAAGCTATCCCGGACCTGAAGAGTTTTTACACAATTTAAATTAGTTTACAAAAATAGTAATGGTATTCCATCTACTTATATTTTTTTAAAAAGCTTAAAATATAGTAAGATAGTACAACAGGAATTTAATGTTTGAACTTTTAAAACAAAGGAATTAAAAATGCTGAGTAGCAACTCCTGTACATGAAGTCATAGTTGATGTGTAAGGAAAGGATGTTAAGGATGCATTGACTATTCAATTAGTCAGTAGGGTGCCGGTGCCTTTGAAGTATACCAATAGCCCTAAGGCTTTTGCTACACTTCAAAGGCGAAAGTGCTGCGTGGAGTCTGGGGTCAGCTGGGGACTCTCCCGCTGAACCCAGGCTCCGTGCGGCATTGCTGCTTTGAAATGCCACATGCAGCCTGGGGACATCCCAGCTGGCCCCACGCTGCACATAGCTTTTCAAAGTCGCAGCGCTGCATGGAGCCTGGTGTCTGGCCCCAGGCTTCAAGTGGCACTGCTGCTTTGAAGTATCCCCTCTTGTTCCCCTGCCCTTGCTGCCTCTATCTGAGGAAGTGGCTAATCGCCTAGACCTTCAAATCCCTAGTGTAAGGAGGGTATGTGGTGTGAAGTGGCCCCCACCCCAGATTTCTCTGTGGCCAGTTTGGGGAGCTGGCAGGACTCTATCCTTTTCCCACTGTGCTTACCCCCTCACACCCTTGGCAGAACCAGCTGCTTCTTATGCTGGCTGCTCAGGGTTGCTGCTCTGTCCTGCCAGCAAGAGCCTGGCTGGGGCAGTGGCCTGCCCTGCACTCTCTATTTTCTACTGGAACCCAGCCCCTTCCCTTTGAATATTTCCAGGTACTTGGCATTAGGGATATAATAGTGTGGTCGATGAATCGATAAGGAAAACTTATAGATTAATGCTATAGACTACATGCATTCCCCACCTCCCCAGTAAATTTTTTAGCAGGCTGTGCCAGCAACCTGGTTCAGTCCTGGCTTGCAGTGGGTCTGGGACCTACCCCTGCTGTGGCTCTGCATTTGAAGTGTCTTAGGCGGTAGGCTGGCAGGCAATCCATCTCCGTTCCAGCTCATGCTGGGTCCAGCTCTTGCTCAGTCCCCACCCCTGGACAGGGGCTGCTGACACCCCGCACTGCTGCGTTCATATCAGAGGCAGCAGCATAGGGCAGCAGGCAGCCGGTCCATGAGAAGGTCTGGTTTTTAAACTGGCTCCCCTTGCAAACCAGCTCACGCCTGGCATGCACACTGCTCTCTCTGATACAGAGGCAGCAGCACAGAGTGGCAAGGGGCTCCTTGGAAGTGGAGCTGGAGTGCATTGGCTTCCGGCCCCATCCCTGGATACTATCGGATAGTCAACTAATCAATAAGAATTCATGAGGTCACTTGACTATTTAGTTAACCAATATTTAACATCCTTAGTCAGCATCTGAGATGGAGGCTGCTCTCAGGCAGCCTCCAGTTGTGATGTAAAAGTGTAATTGTGTATACATGGTTAACCAGTGAGCTTGGGTTCATCAGTTAACCTTCACAGTTACATGCAGGCTCCTAGTATGCATGAGAAGCTGGCTTAAAAACTTCCCTGCTCCACTAGAATCTCGGGGCATAAGGTGAGGGGAAATGGGTGTTCGGACACTCTCCTGGCAGCCCAGGCAGGAAGTGGGAAGGAGCAGTTTCTCATGTCAGCTTAGCTGCTTTATGTAGCATGGTAAATGTGTTTAATCAAGCAAATGTGTAACCGCTGAAGGTTACATGGTTACACGCGGGGCGGGAGGGGGTCAGCTCCTCAGAAACTGCTGCATGTGAGGAGCAGAGCGAGATAGCCCAGCTGGACATGGGGCAAAGAGTCACTATGCAGAGGAGATAGTGGAGCAGTCACCTGTCTTTTTTTTTAAGATTATATCCTGTGGTATCAAGATGCACAAGTCTTTTATGCATGAAAATATAATTTGGCCAAATCATTATTTAGTTGTTCCCTACTCTCTGTAGGTATTCAAGAGGTGATACGTGTAATCTTTCAAATAACTTACAATTATGCTATCATGTAACAGTTGAGGAAGTGCTGATTTAAGGCCAGATTCTACTCTTGCAAACTCCCTTTTATTTGAATGGATGTCACAGGCTTAAGGGTTGCAGGATCTGTCCATTAGGTGTTTTGATGTCTTTTGAAGACACACCTGGAACCTTGAAGTCTGATCTTTGGCAATAGAAAAAGTAATTTTCAGCTTGTTATAAAATTAATTCTGTTACTGACTTAGTTGGTTAAACATATCTTCTGTTAAAGCTTTGTTGTAAACATTTAAATAGAATATCACATTACATTTAAATTTCTCATTTCTTATGCACTGAGAGCAAAAGTCTAATTTCTTCCAGATTTGTGTGTCAGAAATCACTGAACAAATATACCCCAAGTTTGCCATACACTTTTTTCTGTATCTTGGCTCTTCACAAATTCCTGTAATTGCAAATACAAGATATCTGTTCATTTGAATAATGTCAAGTAAACTGGGTAGTAACTCTGATTTGGAAATTATTGCCACATTAAAGTTAGTGTACTCTAATAAGTATAGTCTCTCATTCAAGGAATTTTTTAACTCTTTCTTTCATAGGTCTAAAACTGTCTCATGAGACAGTTGGAGATTATGTACTACTATCAGAAGATCTATTCCGTAAACAGCATAAGTGTTTACCTGTGTAACTTACTAAAAAGTTGTAGAGCATAAAAGGCTATTTGATTAAAAATAATACTTTGTACTAGTTGACTTCCTAACTGTTAATGATTTTATAGCTTGAGTCAGTAAATAACACTATAGGAGCTTTCAATTACTAAGTTAATTCTGCATTTGAATAACAAGAAATGTTCTGATGTTAAGTTGAACCCTGTATTCTAAAATATATCATAGGTTTTTGTATTTGGAAGCAAAGAAAATTTTGTATGTGAAGAAACAATCTTCTCTTTTGCTGCTCATTTTTCTCCTTCCTCCCTGTCAGCCGACGGTCAGGGCAGTGTGTGTGTGTGTGTGTGTGTGTGTGTGTGTGTGTGTGTTCGAGAAAAGGTTTAATGTCTGTGTCTTCACTGCTAGGACTGGGGTCCTGTCACAGAGGGTAGCTAGCAGGCCAACAGACACCCTTTTATAGGAAGAGCTTATTACACCTCAGATTTTAGCTGCTAGAATGCAAGATTCTTTCGCAGCGAGCAGCCTTAGGGAA